GTAATCGTTGATGCCGCGCTACACTTTGATAAAAATTATAATCAAGTTGACTGGTGTGTACATTACTACAGTGAACATGTACATGATCATGCCCTAATAATCAAATGCCGTAATGTCAAATCCATGTCTACAAAATGAAAATAATACAATTAAAATGGAGCATAGAACAATTCTTAATTTCAGGCTAGAGCTGTGGAAATCTAGACTTTCCCAATCATTATAGACTTGAGTTGGTCTCATGTTTTACATTATCAACGTCACAGCTCATACAATACACTAACAAGACCAGCTTGCCCCCCGCCGGAGCTCCCGGATTTTGGTTATATCATCTAACATGGCCAACTCTGCTCTTAAGTAAACAAGAACCTAATCAGCGAGGGGTCCTTTATCATCCCTATGTGGCTGCTTATACAAATCTGATATCTTTTCCCAAAGACCTGGTTAATAATATATTTTCTGCTGAATATTCGAAACAAATAGAGTGAGTTGGTACTACATGTACATATGTATACGGTTCTATTTTAAATGACTGCAGCGCTCCATTATGAAAACAATTTGTTTTAACGCCGCTCTCAGCAGTATTCCAGTGATATATGACGGCGGTTTGTTGTATATGAAATATATGCAAATTGAATCTTGAATCTTGAAAGTTGTAATATTTCCGCAAATAAGTATCACATGCAGTATACAGTATATCAACTGCAATATACTGTATACATCAGTATACAGTGTGTCGTGAGCTCTGCGCTGGGCTGGAGCACACATTTCCTACACCTCTCCCTTCGGCAAACACATCACGAGGGTTGCAACGAGGTCACAGGTCAGGCGTGCACTCGTCAGTTGTCTAATACGGTCAAGAGTAAGATCTTCCGGAAGACCACTGCACTGGAGGTATGTGGATTATTGAGGAGGTACTACGTGTTTGGAACTGGGAGTTGAACACTAAGCACTTTTAGAGAAGAGCTCACAATAAAACGTTATGGACTCGCGGACGGACTTGTGTTTTCATTTCAAGACGTACATTTATCAGGTTGAACTTCCTTACTGTAACAATAACTGAACTTTACGCCTTTTATACACATTTGTGATGGGGCGACAATGCGACAATGCGACAACGAGACATATTTTGACCTTGAAAATGTCGCGTTACGGCATCGTCGCCCTTTTGTAAAATAAAGAAAAGGATTATCAAAGAGCGACAATGCGAACACGCGACAATGCGACAAATTTTGACGCGTGTTGCTTGTTTTTGTGAAGGCGTCAATGCGACAATGCGACAACGAGACAATGTCCCTTCCATAGTAATCCGTGCAAATAAAACTCAGTAATGAAATAGAAGTCTGACATGCCAGTTAAAAGATAGATTGTTGCAGCTTCTGATTTCATAGATCTTCAAGAAGGGTTATCAATAATGGAATGGGTGATGAGTTCAACTGCATACGCTGTGATTAACAATAATGCTCCGAGTCAATACATTTTGTCAAATGTATGACATGTATTACGTGAATGAACATATTGTTTATACTCGTCCATGTTTTTGACGGACAAAATAATTTACATGCTCGGTAAAACTGAGGACGGGCATCATTGTGTGTTTCCGTGCTTTGTTCAGGTGAACAATTGACTTGTCCTTGCATGTGTTTGTGACGGGTGCAGGATACGCTCACCTTTTCCCGAACACCCATTGGATGACCTGAACCACTTCGGATTTTTTTTCCCACATCAGTCTGATACACCATGATATAACTGAAATACTGAAATACTGTACAGTTGAAAATGATGTTTAATGCGATTACCGTAGTGTGTTACTGCAACTGTTCATATTTTGTGCAGTGATGTTATGTAATATGTAAAAGAAAGCATATTCAATTATCCAATTGATTTGAATAGAATATACTTGCGTCAGTGTATTTTATTAACGCCCCAAATCGTAATTTAAACACATAAAATAACAGATCACGCATGGTGCCTTGACTTACTACCAGATTTAATGGGCCACCCCGGAATAAAATAGTTCCCCCCAAAGCGAGTAACATATGTCTTAGTATGTTTACAAGAAATATATTCCAAACAATATCCTCATTAGATGAGAAGATCTTTTACAGAATTACCTCAGTAAGTCAATTACAATGACAGAGCGTCGTAATACATTTACATCAAGTACAATACGTCAAAATGGCCGACACGATAAACGTGACGGGAGATATTTTCGAAGTTGTTAATTAACCTGTGGCTATTTCAAGCCTTTGGCATCACTGATCAATTGGCCGATCATTGAAAGGTGATTGTGAAGATGTGTCAAAAAGATACTAAGGTAAATTCATAGATTTCTGTAAATTGTCATTGCGACAGTTTGGATTTGTTTTCGTGTTTTTTCTCTCTGGGATGGGTTGTGGCGAGGGTATCCTTAAATGGGCTTGCAACCACGCTTCTGTATGAATTCGTACCAGGGAATTCCAAGGGTTTTCCCCAGGAATGTGGAAGTAGTCAGTGTTTACGCCTTTTCAAGAATACAGTCACGTGAAGAACGTCATGTGACCGACCTCGCGTCCAAGTCGTATATCTTGTAAACTTCACATTAAAAAATTAGTTATTGTTATAACCAAATGAAACACAACCCATTATCCGATAGGGGTAACTGTACATAGCCGTTTGACTTCTTGGCGCGTGTCTGAATTCCATTAACATGTAACATATCCTAAAACTAGCTTATCAGCAAATCTCGCTGCACTGCGCGCGACAGATACTAGAGCAAGGCATGCCAGAAATACGAAACCTAAAGCTTCCGAAAGGAAGCCTTGGACATCACGTGCGTCGGGGGACCAGCGCCATCTGATTGGCCGTTAACAGTTGTACAAGGCGGAGCAAAAAGCATCGTTTTTCCGTCCATTTTACGCTTGAAAAACTCGACCCTTTTCTGGACACTTTCTAGACGCTGACCAATTAATCAATTTTAATGAATTTTTAGTCGTTTTTCCGTCCAATGACCATATACGGAAAAAAACGACGTTTTCGTGTTTGCAGTGTAATAAGTACTTATATAGTGTTTGTTATAAACATTCACCAAGTTGCAACTTCTGTGGGAAATTTAGTGAAACTATTGTACATGCATTTCATGATTGTGAATATGTTGCTCAGAAGTGGGAGCTTTTTTAAGGGGAAGAATAACCACTCTCTCAATGTAAATAAATTACTTATCGAATTTATTGTATTTAAACAATCACGAAAGAGTTTTCAGCTAAAGTTATATATTCAACGTGAAGTTATTAGACAATACAATATGGTCAAATTAATTGCATTCTCAAATTGCAATTATACAGCTTTCATTCCGTTCTGGTCTTCCCTCTACAGACTCTTAAATCCTAGCAAAGAATATTAGTATGATATCATATTTTATGATTGTCTATATATACAATGTGTAAAACAAAATAATTTGCTTTTTTTCCGAAAACAACATTACATTAGGAATGATTGGTTGGTTGGTTGTTTGGTTGGTTGCTTAACGCCGCACTCAGCAATATCCAAGCTATATGACGGCGGTCTGCAAATAATCGAGTCTGGACCAGACAATCCAATGATTGACATCATGAACATCGATCCACACAATTGGGACATGGTGACATGCATGAACCAAGTCAGCGTGCCTGACCGCTCGATCCAGTTAGTCGCCTCTTACGTCAATCATAGTCGCCTTCTGCGGCAAGCATGGGTTGCTGAAGACCTATTCTACCCCTGATCTTCACGGGTCTGGAAACACAAATAAACTTCCGTGGCATCGTCGTCGACAGTTGTACCATAGTACAACATATACACTAATCGTGTCTTTAGCACCTGGTATCATCAATATTTGATAGTGAGTCATATGTGAACACCTACTCGTGATGTAGCCGGAATCGTACAGTGGACTCTGCTAACAGTAGATACTTCTTATGATTATGACTTTTGTTGTTATTACTCGATTTAAACTACAATAAACAAGGCGATGCCAAGCACAAAAAACTGAGCAGGTGTAGAAATACTCCACAGGACAATGCTTCCTGGAAATTCAATAATATATATGATTTCATTGGATTTATCAAAAAGGACAAGATCAGCTTTGTTGGCGTGGATACGTCTGAGCTGTATGGTGGCCTATTCCAAAGAATTTGGTATTTATCATTTTCCACGACGCCTTCTGCATATTCTGGGTCGTACCATTGATGGACCTCTGTGTCAAAACTACAATCATTGCGAAGACGGTAATATTTGTTTGTTTGTTTGTTTGTTTAACGCCGCACTCAGCAATATTCCAGCTATATGACGGCGGTCTGTAAATAATCGAGTGTGGACCAGACAATCCAATGATTGACATCATGAGCATCGATCCACGCAATTGGGATCGATGACATGCATCAACCAAGTCAGCGAGCCTGACCACCCGATCCCGTTAGTCGACTCTTACGACACGTATAGTCGCCTTTTACGGCAAGCCTGGGTTGCTGAAGACCTATTCTACCCCGGATCTTCACGGGTCGAAAACGGTAATAAAATGATCGAGCCACCCCATCATGCCATCATGCCAAAACTGGGCATCCACTGACAGTGTGTTGGACAGTCTCATTAAATTTATTGCATATTCTACATTTCATATTTACATTTTGATTCAAAATCAGACATTGACGGTTTCGAGTGGGAAGAAAGTTTTCTGTTTCACTTTTCAGGCCAGCCGACCTCATCCGAGCGAAGGACAGCGGGGTTGGTGATCTTGTCATGTCTAGGCCGATTTGTTTTGGCACTTCGCTTTCTTGACACTCATATCTGTACCGTCTTGGCTATTAGTACTAGTGTCAGTATTAGTATTAGTATTATACACCTCCTTGTATACTGCGAATAGGAAGTTATTGCCCTATATACAGTCGTCTTAGGATACTGGACACTAGGTATCATTGTCCGGAACTACTGACACAAAGCTACAATGTCCGGCGCGACAACGGGTTCCAGAGTCATGCGATTCACCTCACCTTCATAGTCAATCACTCCGTTCCGGTCTTTGTCCGCCTCGCGTATCATCTCATCCACCTCCGGTTTTGTCAGCGGCTCTCCGAGCTCCGTCATGATCTTGAACAACTCGTCCCTGTCTATTGTCCCGTCGCCGTTCTTGTCAAACACCTTGAAGGCGTCCTTCAGAGCATTGGGGTTTTCCGGCTCCTGGCTCTTCTTGTGCATCATCAAGGCAAATTCCTCAAAACGTAAATTTCCGCTACCTGGAACACATTGAGATGAGTTAGATTGAATGATGTTTAGAGCCGCATTCAGTATTATTCACGCTATATCATGGCGCCCCGATGATCATGTCTGGACCAGACAAACCCGTGACAAAACACGAGCTATTCATGCATCTGGGTAGGATGTCTAACATTCAGGCAAGTCAGAGCCAAAACGTCAAGTGGGGCCTTGATGTATTGGTAATTCTCTCTCGGAATACCAAAAGAATGAGTGAATTCGTCAATTAAAAAATATGTAAGATGATCCACATTGTCATCATATAGTTTCATATACAGTTAAAGAGAGGGTAGGCCCTCTCCTATTTCAGTCTGAGCAAATTGTATTTATTCAATTTGATTGTATGATTTCGAATCTTATACGTTCTGGTGTATGTATAGGCCATGTCACACACTAAGATCAAACCGACAAAGATAGATTTCCACAAGATGATGTCCAACCTCACGCAAAGAACTGTCTGGAGTACGCTGAAACCTGGTACTAAATCTTGGATACTAGTCCGTCTTATACGACTATCCATTGGTTATGATTCAAGGTACAAAATTCTTATTCTGTATTGTTAACATCGGAATCAGTGATTCCAGACATCGCCAGTCTCATTCGTGACCAACTCATGTTATCCCGGGACAAGCCGAATAGCGACTCGTGCCCCTCTCGTGGCTATTTTTGCAACCGGGTTCCGTCTTAGCGCAAACGGGCATACCTAAAACAATTGTCAACTCGTTGCGCAATGGTTCACATATATTTCCCCATATATCATTTATATTTCAGATGCATTTAAAAGCACATCAGGACATGCGAAATTATACAGTATGATTGAACACATTTAACTGTGTCTTGGGTATATTTTTAGATGCAAGACATATGTAAAAACAGAAATTATTTCTGAGGGATTCTTTGACAAAGAACTTGAAATCATACGCGCATTCTGATTGGTTTGTCGTATTTTCGCACATAACATTCATCGATAGGGGGACGAGTCTCCTTGCAGGTTACGGAAAGGGGCGAGTGGTGACGAATGCGCCAGTCTCTGAGTTACGTCCAGTAGTCATGCCAGGACAATAGGTTCAGGTGCCAGATTCGACATTATGGGCATTGGTTTGTGAGCAATATGATCAGGGGTCCCACAAAAGGGGTAAGGGTTCATGTCCTGAAAACTCCAATTTCTAGCTGACATCCGTCATGTAATTTAAACATTCTTCAAAGCATCATTTTAAACTTAAGTACTAACTGTTGTAACTACACTAAAGAAGCTAAATAAAGCGACAAATCCCTGTCCATAGCTAATAGAAATCTCTGCACAAAGCAGAGTCGACTGTACGATTCCGACTATACCATGCGCATGTGTTTATGAATCACTATCAAATGGTGATAGTATCAGGTGTTCGCGAAAAGGTGAGCGTATCCTGCCCCACCTGTGGCACCCGTCACAAACACATGCAGAGACAAGTCAATTGTTCACCTGACAAAACACGGGAACCCATGGTACAGGTCAGAAGAGGGAATTGCATTTTTTTTACTTTTGAGCAAGCGTCGTATGACGCTCTTTGAAATCTTGGTAGAAAGAGCATGCTCGATTGTATCGCAAAAGTTGTGAAATGTAAACACCAAAGAACATCCAACCGTTTTTTTGCCATGGCATGTCATATTTACTACAATCATATAATGAGAATTTTCATATTTCTTTAACATATTTTGAGTAGTATATGTTGTGTATCAGTGTGCATGTTCATACCAATATTTATTAAGCAATACGGTTTCCAGGTGACACAGACTTACCATCCGTGTCTGCCTGTCTGATGACGTCACGCAGGTAGGCGTTGGTGGGGTTTTGTCCCAGCGACCTCATCACCGTACCCAGTTCCTCCTCGGCGATGAAGCCGCTGCCATCCTTGTCGTACATCGAGAACGCTTCCCGGTACACTGACACGCGTACAAACAACAATATTGACTCAGTTACACAACAAAGGAACACATCGATAACTATTGACTGCTACAATAAACAAATTACTTCAGGTAGATAGGGATGAGACAGATGATGGAGACAGGTCTCCGGATTGTTGCATCACTTTGCATACCTCACGTTTTCGCAGATTTAAATTACTAAAACTTTAGCCATAATTACAGCGTTATTCATTCAGATGTCGCTGGCTGGCAGATGTACTAAACGTCACACACACCTACATTCACCTGACTGGCAGAGTACGTCACACATAGAGACATCTCCCTGACTAGCAGATGTACATGTACGTCACATACAGGCATGTCCATGACTGGCAAATGCACAAGTACGTCAAACACAGACATATCCCTGACTTACTGATGTACTAGTACGTCATACACAGACATATCAATGACTTGCTGATGTACCAGTACGTCAAATACACTGTCATATCCATGACTTGCTGATGTACCAGTACGTCACACACAGTCATATCCATGACTTGCTGATGTACCAATACGTCACATACAGACATATCCATGACAGGCTGATGTACCAGTACGTCACACAGTCATATCCATGACTTGCTGATGTACCAATACGTCACATACAGACATATCCATGACTTGCTGATGTACCAGTACATCATACACAGTCATATCATTGACAGGCTGATGTACCAGTACGTCACATACTGTCATATCCATGACTTGCTGATGTACCAGTACGTCACACACAGACATATCCATGACAGGCTGATGTACCAGTACGTCACACACAGTCATATCCATGACAGGCTGATGTACCAGTACGTCACACACAGACATATCCATGACTTGCTGATGTACCAGTACGTCACACACAGTCATATCCATGACAGGCTGATGTACCAGTACGTCACACAGTCATATCAATGACTTGCTGATGTACCAGTACGTCACACACAGACATATCCATGACTTGCTGATGTACCAGTACGTCACACACACAGATATATCCATGACTGGCAGAGTACGTCACACACAGACGTATCCCTGACTGTCTCACCAGTAAGTCACACACACAAACATAAACCTGACTGGCTGATGTATAATACGTCACACACACAGACATATCCCTGACGGGCAGAGTACGCCACACGCAGAGATATCCCTGACTGGCAGATGTACGTCACACACACAGACATATCCCTGACTGGCAGATGAACAGGTACGTCACACACACAGACATATACCTGACTGACAGAGTACGCCACACGCAGACATATCCCTGACTTGCAGATGTACGTCACACACACAGACGTATCCCTGACTGGCAGATGTACGTCACACACACAGAGACATATCGCTGACTGACAGAGTACGTCACACACAGACATATCCCTGACTGACAGAGTACGTCACACAGAGACATATCCCTGACTGACAGAGTACGTCACACAGAGACATATCCCTGACTGACAGAGTACGTCACACAGAGACATATCCCTGACTGACAGAGTACGTCACACGAGACATATCCCTGACTGACAGAGTACGTCACACAGAGACATATCCCTGACTGACAGAGTACGTCACACACAGACATATCCCTGACTGGCAGATGTACGTCACACACACAGACATATCCCTGACTGGCAGATGTACGTCACACACACACACAGACATATCCCTGACTGACAGAGTACGTCACACAGAGACATATCCCTGACTGACAGAGTACGTCACACAGAGACATATCCCTGACTGGCAGATGAACAAGGACGTCACACAGAGACATATCCCTGAACGCAGATGTACCATGCCTGTACGTCACACTGACAGATAGTATAGTGTGACAACTGTCATACACATACATATACTTGACAGGTAAAACTGTGCTGTCACACACACTAACATATACCTGACAGATAAGAGTATCTTGTCACACACTAACATATACCTGACAGGTAGGTGTACATTGTCACACACTAACATATACCTGACAGGTAGGTGTATAGTGTCACACCCATAAAATACCTGACAGGTAGGTGTATATTGTCACACACAAACATAAAAACCTGGTAGAGGGGTGTATATTGTCACACACTAACATATACCTGACAGGTAGGTGTATAATGTCACACACTAACATATACCTGACAGGTAGGTGTATATTGTCACACACTAACATATACCTGACAGGTAGGTGTATATTGTCACACACTAACATATACCTGACAGGTAGGTGTATAATGTCACACACTAACATATACCTGACAGGTAGGTGTATATTGTCACACACTAACATATACCTGACAGGTAGCAACTTCCCGAGTTAAGGGTGTTAACTGACAACAACAGTCCATTTTCCACCCTTGCCGAACTGCGCTGGGAGTGGCCATAACGAGTTATGTCCATATATTGACCAATCAGATTCCACCCCTCACATCACTGGCATTTGCTTCAGACAACATGGTCGGGCCAAGTCAAGACTGTCTTATCGATGATCAAGTTCTATATTTTGTAAATAAAACTGGCCCTTACCTCCCGAAGTGCATTGCATCATTTGAGCACCTTGAATAAAAACATGAAAAGATTTGGAAAATATCTGTCGACGCCCAGTTGACTGTACACATGCTGTGCAAATCCTGCAGACGTTTGAAATCCGAATGTTGAAATCCATGTTGTTAACGAACCAGATGTCTAGTTCTCTACGCGATTTTGATTAGACTATGCATATACTTGTTAGTCCAGCCAAAATGTAACTTCATAATTCCAGCCTATTTCGGCAAGGGTGAAAACTGGGCGTTTACAGTCAGTTAACTCCCTTGCCTCGGGGAGGTGAACAGGTGCATACTGTCACATATCGGCATATACCTGATAGGTGGGTGTATATTGACACACACTGACATATACCTGACAGGTAGGTTTATATTTGTCACATACTAATATATATCTTTCAGGTAGGCAGGAACTGTCACACTCTAACATATACCGGGTTTCCGGACTAGCGGGGTTCCATTGTATATATTAACAATGTGCAGTTGACACTATGAGACTATGCCACACGAACACACCAAAGGGTCCACTGATTGCACGTCATAAAGTTTTCGAGGTGACGCTACGGGAGCACGTGACGGACACACTAATCTCACCTTGGAGGTCCTTCTGGGAGATCCGATCCATCTGCAAATATAGCTCTCTGTCAGAACATACCACCCTGGTTGGCCACGTGTCGTCACACTATGACTACAAGGTTGACACATAAGCATACATAATGTCTACATGCTCCAACACCTATTTCCATAAAAACAATAGTCTGCATGTCTGCATCTGTTGCCAAACACGACACATTCTGTTTGATCATTTATATATTCAATGTAACAGATCTGTTACACCTCACTGCACCAAATGAAGAAATATTGGTGATATGATAATGAAATCATAAGACATGTTTTGAAGATTAGTGTTTCGTTTGTTACATTTAAATGATACTTTGTTCAAGACAATCACCCACCTTGTGATGAACGACTAAGAATTATGTGGCGAGCGAGATGAGGCAACAGACCGCTGGGAAAGATGATAATTTGTTTTGGAAACTCGCTTCACTCCGCGCATGATTGCCAGTGAACATGACGATGAGGCTAACGGTCGATACCGCCTCACCGCAGCGACGGGTAGACAAGGCCTTAAGCAGAATTAAAGTTTCACGAGTTCCTACTGTCATAGGTTCCGTCCATTTCGCAAACCAATTAATGCTGTCGACAGTTGTTAATTGTGTTGACATGGCCGCACAGCAAGAGAGATTCACTGAATGGACGTCTGGTAGAGTCATCAGAAATTTCAAGATTTCTTGGCATGCTGTTATTTTTGCCTTTATCGGACTTGACAGTGTCACGAACCATCCTCCGTTATGTAAAGTCAACTCAAACTATTCTTAGGACAGGTGTTACGCAGGTCTCGTGGCCAGATTGTGTTTCTAGGTTTGTCAGAACCATTGCAGAATATCGTGGGTTTTACAAAAGTGGTTAACGTCTGAGACCTACATCGAACATCACGTTGACACGCCGTGATATAACTGAAATACTGTTCAAAGCTTTAGATCCAGCTCACTCGATTTTAGAGTCCTCTAGATTTACTTCTACAGTACTTTAATCTAAGGACCCCTTAAATCATTAATCTTTAACGTTAATCCGTGAACCTTTAATTTCATGCTCAACTTCAGACACTAAAGAATTCAGAAGAATTGTAATTTCATTTGATCCGCAGGGATACATGTTGAAATTATCGATCTGTCCCATAGGATGATCATCCTTCTTAACAAACCCTATAAAATATTTCCTGAAAAAAGAAAATCTGAATCTGGACGCATTCAAAAGCACACCGATCGATTTGATTAACAAGCATCTTTTGTAAATATTAAGGCAATATTTAATCTCCTTTGCCGGAATTCACTGCAGAAAATAATTCAAAAGACTTCGTTTCTCATCCATTTCAATGGCCGAAGGAACTATCGTTTCGTGTCACTGAGCAGATCGATCCCTACCAGGCGACTTCATGGACGACAACACCCGCTTGTTGAGAGACTCCACATTATCACCACTTGCTGAGCTGATCGATCACTCAGCTCTTTTCAAATGACAGTTCGTTACGATAACAAAGCCTATCTCTTGTTAACGCCAGGTTTGTATTCTTTTCATTGCCTGAGTCTAAGAGAATAATCTATGTGTAATGTAATGACTGCATAGTGGCGTGACAATAGAGATTATTGTCATGTCATACAAAATTTGCATTTGGTTTTCGTTGCGTAAACTCAAGTGTTCACTACTGCCGAATATTGGGATATTAATCCGAACTATTTGGCATTAAAACATTTAACCAGGCGAGGAAAAACCGGTGTCTCATGCACCTACTCCCCTTACTTAAAAACGTACCCACCAAGGGTTATGTCCCTTGATGGCATTTACATGGCGTCATACTTGTTGTAATAGGTAAACGTTGCTATAGTAACAATGAAACTGTATTCATGACTATTTCTCTTTACCCTCATCTACAATAAAGGGACCATCGATTAGATGAACCGTAGCAGATGAGGATTGCACGTGTCTCCCCAGCTATTGTTCGTTAATTTCCAGACCATAATAGGTTAGCATGTTGTTTATTTGATCTTGATGATGAAGTCGACTACTGAGTCAGTAGATGGAGTGGATGCAGATGGAGACAGTTATAGCAGAGACAGGACAACGTATTGGTGCGTGATGTCTGTATCAAGAGCTTCATGGCCTGTAGTTATATGATTCCGTGACGTAAATGTCTTTCTCAGCTGAAAATCAATATAATCAAGTGAGTGTGGAGCTGATGAATGAAAACTGGAAATATCACTCTTATGACAGACTTGAAATGTCCTGTTTGAACTCTGTTAGTCTAGACCAAAGCTCAAAAGATTTCTTTTTTATATAACGCCGTACTCATCAATATTTCAGCTCTATGACGGCGGTCTGGAAAAAGGCCAGTGAGTGACATCATGAGCAATTGGGTTACAATGACATGCATCAACAAATTCAGCGAGCCTGACCATCTGATCCCGTTATTCGCCTAGTACGACAAGCATGGGCTGCCAAAAGCTAATTCTAACGCGGATCTTCAAACTCAAAAAATAAAAATGCAAAATAAGGCTGCATCTTCGAATTCAAGTTATGAGAACATAACTTTACTTCGTTCAGACAATGATTCTATATAAGGTATAAATGAATATGCAAGTGTATGATTCACAGACATTGGCTAGCCGGAAGAGTTAACAGTTTCAAAATTGCACAGCATTTGCAGAATTTCTTTAAAACACTTTTAAAACTTAAAAAGGCAAAAGGGGTTCGATATTTCTCTTAATTGAGCTCTGTTTTTAATGCGTAATGTTTATATATAACAGCATTTGGGAATATCCATTTGCGATATCCTATAGTTGAAACGCATATAACGCACTACGGATATAACGAACAAAATTTATTAGTCCCTTTGAGTTTGTTATAACAAGTTTACTGAATACGGGAACTATCCACCAGCATCTCTCAGGTTACACAAATTTCAAATCCTTGGCTCACGGGTGTAGTTTTCATCTTCTGGCTTCAGTTCCTAATTGACGGGATTATGTTCTGAAATAAGAGTAATTAATTGCCCTTGATCCCGTTGCACAAAGTTAGCGTTATGAGTCTATTTTAAAGTGTGGTTGTTAGGATTGTTATATCGCTGAGATCGTTTTTTTAACTATGCCAAGGGGGAAGGTACATATAATGATTAGTTTTTAAAATTAAAATCATTTTCAAAAACGCAAAATATCCTACCATTTAAGGAACATGAAATTTTTATCATACATGTCATTTTATGTATGGGAAAAGGTAATATGTAAATGTTATATAACAAAACTCTTCTGAGTTGGTGACGCTGACTGGTGTGATGCTGCCTGGTCCAAACAAACACGAAGCTAGCTTTGAAATCCATTCATCAGATGATCCCGACACAGCCAAGGGACGCAACTCTACACAGCCAGATAGCATGTAAAAAAACCGCGTTGACAGCTTATGTTGTCTTGAGACGTTTGGTATATATGTAGGTGTAAATAGCCATTGTTTTGTAATTTCTTTTTTGACGTGTACGACATAACTGACCTATATACAAAACCATTTTATTTTACGCTAGATACAAAGGTAGGGATATATGCCTGTGTTATTCCATATCATAATGTCATCCGCCATCTTGAGAAGTCCAGAATCCTTCTTACTTTCCAGTCATCATCTTCACAAACTCTGGAAGAGAAAGTAACGAGTGAGTGAGTGGTTGAGTGAGTGAGTGAATGAGTTGCTCTATACAGAGTGAATAAAAAATCATGCACTGAACATAAAGCATCCATATGGTGAACAGAAAAAGCTAGCACTGCACACACATCCCTGACCGAAATATTCATTATAGTTCACATATCCACACTATACATAGATTCCCATCACATCGCTAACCTCAAACATGTATGTACAAATCCGAAGTAATAACTTGTAAGTATTGTGACAAAGTATTATTTTCTAACTGTATTGGAAAGGGGTTATTGTCTTCATCACGATCACCGTCACTTTGTTTCATAAACACAATAAAGAATTTGCTGTTCAAATATAAAACAGTCAGTATCAACAGCAAACAATCGCCATTATTACATATGGGCGGTTCTTTGGTATTAAAAGTTGTGTACCCTCAACCATGACAGCTACACGAGCCACATGCCTTCATAACATGCCTGTTCATCATAAGCTACCACCTCAACAGAATCAACAATGATGGCCACACCAGCCACATGCCTTCATAACATGTCTGCTCATCATAAGCTACCACCCCAACAGAATCAACAATGATCGCCACACCAGCCACATGCCTTCATAACATGTCTGCTCATCATAAGCTACCACCCCAACAGAATCAACAATGATCGCCACACGAGCCACATGCCTTCATAACATGTCTGCTCATCATAAGCTACCACCCCAACAGAATCAACAATGATCGCCACACGAGCCACATGCCTTCATAACATGTCTGCTCATCATAAGCTACCACCTCAACAGAATCAACAATGATCGCCACACCAGCCACATGCCTTCATAACATGGCTGTTCATCATAAGCTACCACCCCAACAGAATCAACAATGATCGCCACACGAGCCACATGCCTTCATAACATGGCTGTCCATCATAAGCTACCACCCAAACAGAATCAACAATGGCAGCTACACGAGCCACATGCCTTCATAACATGGCTGTCCATCATAAGCTACCACCCCAACAGAACCAACAATGATCGCCACACGAGCCACATGCCTTCATAACATGGCTGTTCATCATAAGCTACCACCCCAACAGAATCAACAATGATCGCCACACGAGCCACATGCCTTCATAACATGCCTGTTCATCATAAGCTACCACCCCAACAGAATCAACAATGATCGCCACACGAGCCACATGCCTTCATAACATGGCTGTCCATCATAAGCTACCACCCAAACAGAATCAACAATGGCAGCTACACCAGCCACATGCCTTCATAACATGCCTGTTCATCATAAGCTACCACCCCAACAGAATCAACAATGATCGCCACACGAGCCACATGCCTTCATAACATGGCTGTTCATCATAAGCTACCACCCCAACAGAATCAACAATGATCGCCACACGAGCCACATGCCTTCATAACATGCCTGTTCATCATAAGCTACCACCCCAACAGAATCAACAATGATCGCCACACGAGCCACATGCCTTCATAACATGCCTGTTCATCATAAGCTACCACCCCAACAGAATCAACAATGATCGCCACACGAGCCACATGCCTTCATAACATGGCTGTCCATCATAAGCTACCACCCAAACAGAATCAACAATGGCAGCTACACCAGCCACATGCCTTCATAACATGGCTGTTCATCATAAGCTACCACCCCAACAGAATCAACAATGATAGCCACACGAGCCACATGCCTTCATAACATGCCTGTTCATCATAAGCTACCACCCCAACAGAATCAACAATGGCAGCTACACCAGCCACATGCCTTCATAACATGTCTGCTCATCATAAGCTACCACCCCAACAGAATCAACAATGATAGCCACACGAGCCACATGCCTTCATAACATGCCTGTTCATCATAAGCTACCACCCCAACAGAATCAACAATGGCAGCTACACCAACCACATGCCTTCATAACATGACTGTCCATCATAAGCTACCACCCCAACAGAATCAACAATGGCAGCTACACCAGCCACATGCCTTCATAACATGGCTGTTCATCATAAGCTACCACACCAACAGAATCAACAATGATAGCCACACGAGCCACATGCCTTCATTAAATGGCTTCTCATCATAGGCTACCATTCAAACGGAATCAACCACGAAACGTACACCAGCCACATGCCTTCATAACATGGCTGTTCATCATAAGCTGCCACCCCAACAGAATCAACAACGATAGCTACACCAACCACATGCCTTCATAACATGGCTGTTCATCATAAGCTACCACCCCAACAGAATCAACAACGATAGCTACACCAACCACATGCCTTCATAACATGGCTGTTCATCATAAGCTACCACCCCAACAGAATCAACAATGGTCGCCACACCAGCCACATGCCTTCATAACATGGCTGTCCATCATAAGCTACCACCCCAACAGAATCAACAATGGTCGCCACACCAGCCACATGCCTTCATAACATGCCTGTTCATCATAAGCTACCACCCAAACAGAATCAACAATGGCAGCTACACCAACCACATGCCTTCATAACATGGCTGCTCATCATAGGCTACTATCCAAACGGAATCAACCACGAAACCTACACCAGCCACATGCCTTCATAACAAGCCTGTTCATCATAAGCTACCACCACACCAGAATCAACCATGACAGCTACACCAGCCACATACCTCGACAACTGACCTGTCCATCATAAGCTGCAATCCAAACAGTATAAACCATGACAGCTAGACCAGCCACATACCTCGACAACTGACTTGTCCATCATAAGCTACAATCCAGACAGTATAAACCATGACAGCTAGACCAGCCACATACCTCGACAACTGACCTGTCCATCATAAGCTACAATCCAAACAGTATAAACCATGACAGCTAGACCAGCCACATACCTCGACAACTGACCTGTCCATCACACGCTACAATCCAAACAGTATAAACATTGACAGCTAGACCAGCCACAAGCCTTCATAACATGCCGGATCTTCATAAGCTACCATTGAAATATTATTGACCATGACAGCTACACCAGCTACATGCCTCCACAAAAGACGTGTCCATCATAAGCTACCATCCAAACAGTATCAACCATGTGTACTGCTACCGCCACCCACATGCCTCCATAACTTGCCTGTCCATCATTAGCTACCATCCAAACATTATCAACCACGTGTTCTGCTGCAGCCACCCACCATCATAATCGACCTGCCCATCTCCATCTCCATCCGCTTCTCTGATCATCTCATCCACCTCCTCATCTGTCAACTTCTCCCCCAGATTTGTCATGACATGCCTCAACTCCGTAGCGCTGATGAACCCATCCCCATTCTTGTCAAACACATGGAAGGCCTCTCGCAACTCGTCTGAACTGTCGGCACCCTGAAGCTTCTTCGCCATCATTGTTAAGAATTCAGGGAAGTCGATGATGCCGTTACCTGATATGACATTAAAACGACACTTCAAACACTATTTCAAAATATTGTTTTAATTCTATTATTAATTCAGATAGTATTCTCTTAAGATTTGCTGTGTTTGAAGAGTGTTTTTTTCATATTCCCAGAATATATTTAAGATAAGTGGAAAAAGTGCGGATTCTCAAAACCTCAAAGGATTTGCTTGTGTTTGTGCAATTTCAGAAGGAACCAATATCATTTTGTCAAAACAATTGATTTTCAAGTTTGGACATCAACATCCCACACGACAACCTCTATTGATATGTCAGAGTTAAGCCAGTGCATTCATCCATGGCCTATGTTGTTTTGTACGTTTATCTGTGCCACATATGAACTTTGCTGCGAAAACAATAAGTGATGTGCCACAAAACTCCTCATATATAAGATCTATGTGAAATGTTGAGGGAGGACATTTAGATAAAAAGTAGGCGTGCCCATGTGCATAATTGTTCATCTTTTTACTGCAATGGACTGGAATTTCGGCTCGGATTGGCAAAATCAAAACACAGGAATATAGCCAAGGGGTTTACCTTCTGCATCAGGTATATCGATGATTTGGTACCGTACAATAATGGTAAAATAGCAAACTACGTTCCACTGATTTTCCCATTTGAAATAGAAATAATAGAGACCAGTTATAATCGCCTTATATGTTTCATATTTAGATCTATGCGTAAAAACTGTATGACAAGAGGGATGACTTCAACTTTTATCCATTTATTACTTGCAATATTCCAGCAGCTCCAGCCTTTGGTGCCTACATTTGCGGCACAGACATGCTCTTTCTGAGAAGACTTCTAAGAGTGCAATGCTAAAAAGTTGCTTAATCAAGGTTACAACATTCATTGCCCTAGTACAGCTTTCAAATGGTTTTATGGTAAACAGTTTATAAATTTGACGTCCAATGCAATCCCTATGTTGACTTATGTTTTTTTTCAAGTGAACAAATTACTTAACTTGGTGTGTTTGTGATATGTGTCACCGGTGGGGCAGAATACGACACCGGTGGTGCAGGATACCTTATCGCGAACACCTCGTATTTTCACTATTTGATAGTGATTCATATACATATGTTTATGACATAGTCGGAATCTAACAATACACTATGCTCCAAGAACATGAAATAACACGGTCATGTATTACTTACCATCAGCATCTACTTCGTTGATCATGTCTTGCAACTCTGCCTCTGTTGGGTTCTGACCTAGTGACCTCATGACGGTTCCCAACTCCTTGGTTGTGATGGTGCCATCGCCGTCTTTGTCGAAAAGGTTAAATGCCTCTTTGAATTCTAAAAATGAAAATGCAGTTATGAATAATGTGCGTTTGTTTGAATGTAGGTGTGTGTCTGTATGCGTGAATGGATCTGTGTGAATGTATGTGTGTGTATGTGTGTGTATCTGTGTGTGAATGCAAGACACTGTGTGTGTGAATGTATGTGTGTGAATGTATGTGTTTGTGTGAATGTATGTGTGTGTGTGAATGCATGACATTGTGTCTGTGTGAATGTATGTGTCTGCGTGTATTGTGCCTTTGTGTGCATCTGTGGCTGTAGGTGTGTTTGTCTGTTTGTATGTATGCGTGTGTCGATGTATGTGTACGTCTGTGTGTATATATGTGTCTGTCTGTGAATGTATATGTCTGTGTGTCTGTGTGTCTGTGTGTAAGTTTAAAGTGGCATTTTAGAAGCTGTACATGTTATCAATGAAGACAGGGTTGACTTGTAGTACCACTTCTTTATTCTTTCAAGGCATTAATGGAATAAAAAAACGTCGAAGACGATTCGTCAACCCCGTCTTCGTGGATGAATAACCGAACTTAAATATGTGTGATGCAATTTCATTACATGTCATTTCATTTCAACGAATTAGTCAAGAATGATCTGTTATATAACACCAAATTCAGGAACATATTTCTATTGCGTTGAAACAGGGATTCAATGTGTAAACTTTTACAAGACTGCTATTACCCTCGTCCCATAACTGCATATTATCCAGATCCACCTGAATTAAGTACCGAAGTCTCAATTTAGCATTCTGAATAATGTAAAAAAATCATTTACGTAAACTGAAGTCGACTAAGTGTAGATGACTGTACAGAGAGATCAGAAATCTCAGAATGTGTCAGCTGTCAGACATCAACAATAGAGGGATGCTCACATGACCAAACGCAATCACATCACGATAAACAATGCCAAGAAACTGAATGTCAAACCCTTTGCAATAACATCGTTTACAGAATATGTTAGTATGTTACCCTGTTGGTCTATCAGCTGACGGGACATACCCTGGTACAAGCAGTGGGTACAGCTCGTGTTCCACGCCCTCATCTCTAGGTGGCAACTCATGGTGATGTGCTTAGACCTGAATGGACCTTTTGACTGGACGAAGGCTAATGCGTGTTACATAGTTCTAGTCGAAACAGCCGGACGTGATTGAAATTCATATATGTGTTTAATTTAGTCCCTGTCCCTGAACCAGTTTTATAAATAACTCCTTCTGTGTCACACAGAAATGTATGGTCATGTATAAATAATCTTGTCAGAGATAGTGTGTGCCAGGGGCATGAGTATGGCACACCGTAAAGGCTCCGCAACTCGCTGTGCATGGCGGTAGTAGCCTATGGTCAGGGTTGAATCCCAGATTCGCTGATGATTATGATACTTGTTTTGTCCGCTTTTCTCAGACCTGCATTGCATAAACTGACACGTCATTACAAAGGTGAAAGGGGCGGTCGGGTAGACTAGTGGTTAAAGCGTTCGCTCGTCACGCCGAAGACCCGGGTTCGATTCCCGACATGGGTACAATATGTGAAGCCCATTTCTGGTGTCCCCCGCCGTGATATTGCTGGAATATTGCTAAAAGCGGCGTAAAACCATACTCACTCACTCACAAAAGTGAAATACTGTTCAATAAGGTGTTCACCCCAACTCACTCCAATGAGGCGTTAACCCCAACTCACTCACTCACTCACTCACTCACTCACTCACTCACTCACTCACTCACTCACTCACTCACTCACTCACTCACTCACTCACTCACTCACTCACTCACTCACTCACTCACTCACTCACTCACTCACTCACTCACTCACTCAGACACAAACACAAACACAATTGTATTTTCGTGACTAATAAAAACAAGCATTTTGTATGAAGCATTAACTCATCAACGTTCCAAAACCTCACACATGAGCACACTTGTCATATCACGGTGATATACAATTTACAAAGAAAATAATAAATCAATGAATTACAAAGAAATTGTCCCCGAACTCAACATCTCCCTTACTGCAGACTGCATTGTGTCCACTCTATTGTGAATTGTTGTACCAAGCCCGTGGGTGTATCACATTTCCAATACATGTATAATCCCATGTGTACTACATTCCTAGGCTTGTATGCGGCATTGTGAGTAGCTCCAGCGGACATATCACGTTCCTGTGACTTATGACGCGAGTCTCGTGAACACACGTGTAACCGATAGGATGAATTTTAACAACTGTAAGCTTACATGACAACCAATTACCAAAAAATATTCATAAGAAATCGATTGTTCGATTCCGACTATATCTTGAACATGTGCTTATGAATCACTATCAAATAGTGATGATACCAGGTGTTCGCAAAAAAGGTGAGCGTATCCCGCCCAACATGTGGCATTCGTCACAAACACATGCAAAGTCAAGTCAATTGTTCACCAGTAAAAACACGAGAACATATGGTACATGTCAAAATAGGGACTTGCATCGGACTTAATGTTTGCCACTGATGCGTCAAATTTCGAAATGTCCTCTACATGTATACCAGAAAACTTTTTGAAAACTTTGGGGAGGCCTTGAAAGCTGTGACCTTGATCAAACAACTTCTGGGCAACAGTCGTATGACGCTCTTTGAAATATCAAAAGTTGTGAAATGTTAACACCAAAGGCTGGAGCTGCTGGAATACTGCTCGACATGAAGGGAAAGTTGACTATTGGAAAGTGGAAGACATCCCTCCTGTCATACAGTCATGTGGAGAGTGTTTTATCACTCTGAATCTCTATTCATAGATCCACATATGAAACAGATGAAGCGGTCTCACTGATCTCCTTTATTTCTAGTTCAGGTGGGTAAATCAGTGGAAGTGAATTGGCTGTTTGATGGTTATTGAACGATATCAGATCATCGATGTACCTGAAGCTCAAGTTAAACTTCTTGGCCAAATTACTTTGTTTTGACTTTGGCAATCCGAGCAGAAATTCCTATTCATAGGCATAAAGCAACAGATCCGCAAGATGGGGAGCACAATTGGGGCCCAAAGGGGACACATACTTCGTGCCTCAATGTCTTACCCCAAAATTTTACACAGATGTAAAACCACTAACGTCCTTCATGTTTTACCTCATTTATCTGCTTAGATCGTATATAGCTACTATCAGATCGTATATACTTACTATTAGATCATATGTACCTTCAATCAGATCGTATATACCTGCTATTGGATCGTATATATCAACTATCAGATTGTATATACCTACTATCATATCGTATATACCTACTATCAACTCTTGTATACCTACTATCAGATCGTATATACTTACTATCAGATCGTATATACCTACTATCAGATCGTATATACCTACTATCAGATCGTATATACCTACTATCAGATCGTATATACCTACTATCAGATCGTATATACCTACTATCAACTCTCTTCCCACTAGCAGCTCTCGTATAGTTTCAGGTCATATATAGGTACTATCATACCCTTTACATCTACTATCAGGTCCAGGGCGGTGGGATAGCCTTGTGGTTACAGTGTTCTCTCCCTAACGATATGGCTTCCCACATGGGTACAATGCTGATGTCGTGAATTTGCTGAAATATTTTAAAAAAAACGGCGTAAAACCATACCCATTCACTACTAATAGTCATATATACCCACTCTGCCCTGTCTTAATCTTCTGCTCAAAGTTCCAAATATCTACCTGCTACTTGATCTTCTGTGAGGTTGCATCCTTCAGGCGCAATTTGCTGTTCTGCCTGCAAAACAAATGGAATCACGTTGTATATTTGCTGTGCTTGGCTGGTAAAGAAGAAAGCTGTCAGATGTGGGTTTAAAAAAAAATTCTTTTCAGATTTTATAAATTCAAAATAATTATTCTTTAAAGGAAGAAATCATAGATCAATTGTTTCTCTCTCTCTCATCACCCTGTTTGTCTTCTTATTGGTCGTACAATGCATAGAATGTGTTCAATGTATTTGGTATGTGCACGCTTCAAGACTATTTTTAATTATTACATGTAACTGACATGATCTTTCTGAATCATTGAAAAAATGCCACTTGCCACCTTGTGAACATATCACCATGAAGCAATATCGTTAGTTATCACGTTTTAATATGACAGAACTGAACATCTAACAAAATGCAATAAAACCTTCTTTTAGAGATATTATCCTCAAAATGTAATATTGCTGAGTGCTTCGTTAAACAACAAACAAACAATGTTACCAACAAATGGGTTAATCATATCCATCGGATATACACTCATATACACTCTCTTATTATTGATACCTCCTCGATTTCCGTGAATTCCCCACACGGTTGAGCACAGTAATATCTTGATAATGACTTCACTTCTTCTTAACTCATCTAACATATCCTTTGTACTGCTTTGTTTAATGAGGCAACATTATCGCCTCATTAAACCCCTAACATTGATAAGAAGGAACTGTTGGTCATGACGAGGAAGCCATAATGGAAACAGGAACCGAATTAATGATGATTCTCAATTCCCAACCAGAATCGTTCCAGAAACTATGAACGATTCTATTCCCTATTTTGACTCGAACCCTAAGTTCCCGTGTTTGTTCAGGTCAACATTTGACTTGCCTTTGCGTGTGTTTATGGTGCACCCCACCCACCCGATGGGTCAGGATACCTTTTCGCTTACACCTGTATCATCACTACGTGATTCATAAACACATGTTCACTATGTAGTCGGAATTGTCGAAATGGGTTTTGTGAAGATGAACCAAATGTAGACCATTTGGAAACTCAACATTGTCTAATCATACCTGCTTCTAGTTAAATTGAACTCTGTATAGCAATTTTATGACAAGCCTCTGTTAACATTCCTTTGTCTATTCATTCATTTCAATTCAATGTTAAGAGGACAAAACCTCAAGATCCTTAAGCCAAGCAAGTACGTTACACAAATATGATTACCTACAATTCATGTTCAGTTTCTTTACATGTTGGAAACTTTACTTTTAAAAAGTCACACAAAGTTGTAATTGTTAAAAAG